TGTTTTTTTTTTTTTTTTTTTTGGAGTGGACGTATTGTCACCATACACATTTTTCATAAATTTTCACGCTCACATTGCACTTTTGCATGGTTGTAACAGATTTCCTAACCTGAATAATCGTCAACTTTAACGCTTAATTTTTCAATATTATAAAGTGTCAATGTTAAGAAGGTTAAGTAAAAAAGGAGCATACAGCCGCACTCGAGATGTCAATAAGTTATATATTAATAATAAACATTCAACAAAGTAGACGTTTCGGTCACCATTTGACCATCCTCAGTACAATAATAAAAACCTAAATTTATTTAAACCTAGTTACATAATTTAAATTTATTCCTAATGTTAGTCAGTAATAAAAATTTAACGCTTAATATCTTGTTTTGCGGGGCAGAGCATTTTACTGTCAGATTCTTTTGTTTCATGCACAAACATGTTGAATGAGCATAATTTGAAATTGAAGGAGAGAATCGTTTTCTGGATAAATATCAAGTAATTTTTAGAATAATATCCTGATGCTATAGTAGTTGTTATGTATTAGAATAATAATGACTGCATTCAGCAGAACGTTTATTTTGCAACTGTTGGAAGTTTTCTTTGTGCTGATTGGTTATGTTTTTAGATCAAGAGGAATGATCCTATCTCAGCAAACAATCATAAAACGGTTGCAAAACTGTTGTGTTCTGCTGAACGCAACTAATGGCTGCGTTCAGCAGAGAAAGCAGTTTTGCAACTGTTGTAAAATTCTTTAATATGATTGGACTTGCCCTTAGTTCTTCATTGAATTTAAATGTATAAATCAATCATATTCAAGAATTTTATAACAGTTGCAAAGCTGCTTTTTCTGCTTAACACAGCCAATGTTAATTAAAGTTTTATGAATTTCTAATGAATTGGTAGTCATAAGTAAGTAAGGTAGTTCTAAGTCTTATTGGTGAAGTTGACCAATAGCTAATTTATATGATTAACACTGATTGGCCAACTTTACTGATTAAGACTAGACTTCAGACTTATTGTAGAACCGTGAATAATAATATTAGCATAATATTCAATAATATGAGCTTATTATAGATAGATATCCTTGAAAACAAAGTTAATATAATTGTTAAATAATTACATTATATCTGTCATTTAAGATGTCAGTATTATATTCATTTTATAATTGATGTCCATAATATTGACAAGCTATTAGCAAAAACATGAACATATTACTGGCATTAATAGTTATATTATTAGAATTATATTTTATTCAATATATTTTATTCAATATTTTATTTGATTTTTATTTAATTTTAGTATTATTTTATCTGAAAAATATATTTCTGTGGAACTTATTATTCAAATTTTGCCTGTTAGCTTTGCAACTATTTACTATTTGCTTTAATAAAAATAGATGTAGCTCAACAGAAAAATGAATTTCTCAAGCTTTAAGTTTTTTTTAATTAGTAGATTAGCTTTTACAGGCCATATACTTTCAATTAAGCGTTATGATAATTAGATTTGTAAAAATTCGATTAAAGATAAATAAAATAATATAAGATGTAAATGATTATAATATAAGATATAATTTCACATTTTAAAAAGCATTTAAATTTTGATTGAAAGTAATGTCCTATGAATAGATGAATGCAGAAATATTAATTTTAATTATAATAAAATTATGTGTATATGAAATATTAATAAAGTTATGTATATGATGTGTGCTTCATCAAAAGATTTACAAACTAGATGTCATTTTATTCAAAATATTTTATGGAAAATATATTTAATATAAAATATATTCTAATTTTCTCTCTGTTTCCAATGAAATTTTAATTTAAAAACTTTATTTGTGTAGGATATTGGAGTTAATATTTTGACCGAACAAGCTGTTATCAATGAAATCACAAATAAGAGACAGTTGAGAAAATTGATTGTACTACCGTATGACTTAAAGGTTCAGGAAGTTTTTACTGAAAATATTAAATTTGGTAAGTAAAACTCACTAGCAACTTTGTTGTCGCCTAATGTATAAATAAATATATATACATATATATGTGTATATATAATATATATATATACACATAAGGGTAAATGTTAATGTATGTCTGTATAGATATCGACTGCAGCTATGATCATCTAAACGGTGCATAGATGGCTGTCGCTTAAACATATGTGCTGAAATAGTACAGATGATCACAGATGCAGTCGATAACTCATTTTCCATGGTAAAAGGACAGACATGCATTAACATTCACCCTGTATATACAATATATACATATATATATATATATGTATGTCTGTGATCATCTATATATATTAGGTACTAAACTTAGTTTTGACGGTTTTTTTGCTTAAAAAACTCATTTATCTCGATATCAAAAGCAAAAAATACATTACTCAAAATATTTACCCTTGCTAGCTATATATTTTTCCCATCTTTGTGAAAATAAGTGGATTTCGCGACAATAGAACTATTAGTCTTTTGAAGCAATCCATTCATCGATCCATTTTCGCACATCCTCGTAATTTCTGAAGTGTGTATCCACCAAGCCGTGCTGCATCGATCGGAACAAGTAATAGTTTGAAGGAACTAAGTCTGGTGACAACGCTGGGTGCGGGAGAACTTTCCATTCAAGCTGCATCAGTGTTTTCTTGATGGCTTTTGCAACGTATGGTCGAGCGTTGTCGTGCAAAAGCATAGCTTTGCGTCAATTGATGGCTACTGCTGGCCTTTTTTCCAACAATGTTTCATTCAGACGGTTCAATTGTAATTGATATCGATCTCCCATGATACTTTTGTTCGGTTTGAATAGCTCATAGTAAATGACGCCTTGCATATCCCACCAAATGCAGAGCATTGCTTTGCGGCCATGGATTTCGCTTTGGTGTAGATGTTGATGGTTGCCCGTGACTTTTTGCGTTTGGGATTATTAAAATAGATCCACTTTTCATCGCCAGTCACAAAAAATGCGCCACAAAAAACTTTTTTCTGTCTGGCGAGCAAAGAAATAGCAATTCGGTGTCTTCAAACTTTTTCGGTTGACCTGAGCGTTGTTTATCATTCACACCAAAATCACCACTCTTAAATCGTTGAAACCATTTTTGGCATGTTCTTTCTGATGGAACAAAATTGCCATAAGCTTCGACAAGCAATTTATGAGCAGCTGCAGTTTTTTTCAAATTAAAGTAATGTGAAGCAGTATATGTCAAAAAAACAACTTATCACGTTCCATGTTTAATAACAAAAAAATGGCACTGTTTGCTTAAATGAATCTTTTTGCACTGAATTTTATTGATAAATGTCTAACCTCTAAAATGCAGCCAGATGCAAAGTACATTACATCTACAACTAGCGTCGTCTAAATATGAGCCGCCGAAACTAAGTTTAGTACCTAATATATATATATATATATATATATATGTATATAGTAAATATATGTGACATCAAGGCAAATAGAAGTCCAATAAAAGTAACGTGTTATAACAATAAAAATAGAAAAACAAATGTTACAATAGAATATAATTAACTGTTATATAATCTAATCGCAATCGCATTACATGTTTCGGCTGCAAATTCGAGCCCTCCTCAGATGTACACAATAGAAATACACACATGCACGCACGCACACAGACACATACACAGGGTGGACCATTTTAATTTATCTAGTAGATTTTCTCAAAATCTGTAAGTTTAAGGCAAAAATGTTTCAGACAAAAGTTTTATGATTTCAAGAAGGAAAGAAGTTGGTGATCTTGGTTGATCTTGAGAAGATGTCGTTAATGTCAGGTCAAGGTTACCTAAAATTTTTTTAATGGAACCCTTTATTTTTTATTACATATTCTTATAGCTGTCGTCAAGAAATAGAGATGTTTAAGCGATTCGCAATGGCATTTTTGGTTAATTCGTGTGGTACCCATTTTCCTTCTTTTTGAAACTTTCCCATTGCATGTAGACGTTTGAAAACAGCTATCGGAGTAACATTTAATGCAGACAATTCTTGGAGCGTTTGAGCTGAGTTTTCGTCCAATAATGCTTGCAATTCGATGTCTTCAAACTTTTTCGGTTGACCTGAGCGTTGTTTATCATTCACATCATTTTAAAAACACTAATAAAATTCATTTTTATTAAGTATTTTTTGAATTATGACGCTTGAAAGTTACAGTACCGCTGGCATTTGCATTACTCAAGATGTCAGACTGATGACTAAAATCTTTGGAATGAATTCAAAATCATGGCGTTGACAACTTACAGGTTACATACTATAATTTAATTTGATCCAAGATCAGGTACAAAGTCACTGACAGCTATTCTCCAAAAACTTTGGAGGTATATAAGTTGGTCTAGCATCAACTGAATTGAAAATTTCAAAAATCGTTTATACATATTCTTACTATTTAAGGAGATTGAATACGAGAATCTTTTTCATCGAAATTTATTGCAGTAAGCTTCACGAATATAATTCGGTTGATGTTAAACCGAATTGCACATCTCCAAAGTTTTTGGAAAACAGCTGTTAGTAACTTTGAACCTGATCTTGGCCCAAATTAAATAGTATGTAACTTGTAAATTGTCAACGTCATGATTATGAATAACATTCCAAAGATTTTAGCTATTAGTTTGACACTTTGGGTAATGCAAATGCCAGCGATACTATAATTTTCAAGCGTTATAACTTGAAAAGTACTTAATAAAAATGAATTTTATTATAGTGTTTTCAAAAGGTCTTGAAGACAGCTATAAGAACATGTAATAAAAAATAAGGGGTTCAACTAAAAAAATTTTAGATAACCTTGACCTGACCTTAACGACATCTTCTTAAAGTCAACCAAGGTCATCAACTTCTTTCCCTCTTGAAACCATAAAACTTTTGTCTAAAACATTTTTGCCTTAAACTTACAGATTTTGAGAAAATCGACTAGATAAATTAAAATGATCCACTCTGTATACACATATATGTGCGTGCGTGCGTGCGTGCGTGCATGTATATATATAAATGATATATAATAAACCTGAAATTCAAAATTTCGCTCCTATTTTAGAATATAAAAATTTGTCTTAATAAAAAATATGACGTTCTAAAAAAAGAGTACATTGTAAAGATACTGAAAGTAGAACTGAACGATGCATACAGAGCTATAGAACTTTCTTATAAACAAATTTTCCATCCCACTCGCAAAATTTCGTGTGAATTTTCTTACAACATTTACAATAAATTTTACACAATTTCAAGGTTCATTCTTGG